GGTGGAATAATCCCCACCTAGGATTGCTTGGAGTCCAGCGAATGATGCCAGGTAATAATAATAATTATATGTGTATTAAAAGATAAGTAATACAATAAAAGATTATAAAATATACTTTAATTGTAACATTACACAATATAAAAAAACCATAAACGCGTTTCGCCAATCGGCGTTATCAATATGGGTAAAGGGACCTTTACCCATATTGATAACGCCGATTGGCGAAACTCGTTTATGGTTTTTTTATATTGTGTAATGTTACAATTAAAGTATATTTTATAATCTTTTATTGTATTACTTATCTTTTAATACACATATTGATAACGCCGATTGGCGAAACTCGTTTATGGTTTTTTTATATTGTGTAATGTTACAATTAAAGTATATTTTATAATCTTTTATTGTATTACTTATCTTTTAATACACATATAATTATTATTATTACCTGGCATCATCCGCTGGACTCCAAGCAATCCTAGGTGGGGATTATTCCACCAGTGCGAAATATCAGGAGCAGTTGACCTGCTCCTGTCTTGTGAGTATCCATTTTTTATTTTATTTTATATTGGAGTTTAATTTTATGCAGAGAACACTATTGGCTGTCTCTTTTTATTTGAGCATCTTTTAAACCACGGAAGGAGGAAACACGTGGAGGATAACCATCCTATATCCCATAAGCGGGGATCTAAACCGCTGTACGCCTTCTATACCAGAGCAGGTTCTAGCTCTTGGATATGTGAGTTTGCAATCAAGCCTTTATATTTTATTCCTTACTCATATAGATATACTGCACCATTGTGGTTTTGTATTTGTTTTTATATCTTACATAAGAGACGATCCACAAGAAAGACAGAAAGCAAGACAGAAAGCAAGAGTATTACCTCTGACTAAGCACTACGGACATTGCAAGATAAGACCTCTTCTGTTTTATTTATTTATTTATTTATCCATTTATTTATTTCATCTGGACTTTTATATATTCATTTTTTAAGCGCAGCCCTTTTTCTATATTTCTCTGTATACCTGTGTCTGTATGTTTCTGTATCACTGCATGTTTTTTTTTATAGTGTACCTGTATGTGTAGATTGTATGACTGTGTGCCTATATATCTGCACCTGTATGACTGTGTTTGCTTGACTGTGTGCAAATTATGAGTGTGTGTCTGTATATCTTTGTGACTGTGAGCCTGAATAACTATGTCTGTGTGCCTGTATGGTTGTGTGTTTGCATGTTTGTGTCTTTGTGCATGTATATATTTTTTCCTGTTTATCTATGTCTATATGGGAGAAAGAGACAAGGAAAGGGGCTAGGGGATAAAAGAAACAGAAATGGCCTGAGGGGAAGAAAGAGACACACATTAAGACTTTGACAATTAAAGTATGAATATATTAACAATATCTGTATATTTAATGTGATATATATTTTAAATTTCTGTCTTTCTACCTTCCACTCTTAGAAAATGAAATCTACTCTTTAGAAATTATGCCAATATCAGCATTAGTCAGCATGTATCCTACATTTTACATACCATCAACAAAAATGCATATCGCCAATACCATGGGCTGTGGACTAAACAAAATTATAAACACAACACTTTTGATTTTGCCCCTATTTTGCATGAGCTAAACTCAAAGACTTTTTCTATGTAGACAAAATGCCTATTTCTCTCAAATATTGTTCACAAATTTGTCTAAATCTGTGTTAGTGAGCACTTCTCCTTTGCCAAGATAATCCATCCACCTCACAGGTGTGGCATATCAAGATGCTGATTAGACAGCATGATTATTGCACAGGTGTGCCTTAGGCTGGCCACAATAAAAGGCCACACTAAAATGTGCAGTTTTACTGTATTGGGAAGGTCCGAAAACCAGTCATTATCTGGTGTGACCCCCATTTGCCTCACACAGTGCAACACATCTCCTTCGCATAGAGTTGATCAGGTTGTTGATTGTGGCCTGTGGAATGTTGGTCCACTCCTTTTTAATGGCTGTGCAAAGTTGCTGGATATTGGCAGGACCTGGAATACGCTGTCGTATACGCCGATCCAGAGCATCCCAAACATGCTCAATGGGTGACATGTCCGGTGAGTATACTGGCCATGCAAGAACTGGGATGTTTTCAGCTTCCAGGAATTGTGTACAGATGCTTGCAACATGAGCTCATGAAAAATGGGGGCAAAATCAAAAGTGTTGCATTTATAATTTTGTTCAGTGTACTTACGAGGACTTAATATTCCAGCCCTAGTGAGTGGAATTTAAAGGGACACTATAGTCATCAGGACAACTACAGCTTGTTGTTCTTGTGAGTATAGTTAGTCCCTGCAGGCATTTTCATGTAATAACTGTTTTTTCAGAGAAAAGGCAGTGTTTACATTGCTCCCTTGGGACACCTCCAGTGACAGTCACTCAGACAGCCACTAGAGGTGCTTCCTGGGGCAGTGGTCCAGAGTGTGCAGCACTGACCGTCAGCATCTCCACACTCTGCCAGAGGGATGAAGAGGGCCAGAGGCTAAACAGGTATTTTAACATTATAGGGTCACGAATATGTTTGTATTCCTGACCTCTATAGTGTTCCTTTAAGCCCTGGCAGTGTGACAAGCTTCCCCCATTGCTTATGAGGATATTCAGTATAGTTGGAAAGCAGCAGAGTATCATAAGAGTGCCAACCCACTGGTTCTTTTTCTCTTGGTCACCAGGGAGTGAAAATACTTTTTTTTATACTCCTGGGAGAGCACAGGGGCCACATGCTCCCCTAACACCCAGTGTTAAACTAGTGATGTATTTTGGCCTAGGCTGACAAAGAAAAATATGGAGAGATCAAACAAACAAATAGTAAATGAATAGCAACATCTCCTACCTTGTAGATGCCTTGTTTTCATGGATTCAGATATGTCCAGCACGCAATTTTCTCTTCAATTAGAATTGCATAAAACAATACACCAACTTCCTAAGCCCCAACTTTAATAGTACAAAAATCATTAAAAACAAGAAATAAATGTAGAGTTAATAGTCAGAACGGGATAAAAAGGGACAAACAGTCTGATGAATTTTGCTAGCATTCTGACTAGGACATTATCAAATGGCTAATTGGATATGCCAAATAGCTAATTGGATATGCCAAATGGCTAATTGTTTATGTATGTGAAGGTGATAAATTATATTGGGTGGGGATGTTTAGTCTTGACTGGCCTACGGCAGCCAAAATCCTAAATGCATTATTGGGTTAAACAATAGAGCAGGACATTAGTAGTTTAAACTTCTGTAAAATGCGTAGAAATCAGCTGGTCAACCATCAGCCCTAACCTCTTCCATCATATAGTGAGTACTTTAAAAGGCTGCAAACAAAAGCCTACATGCCTCCCATACGATATATTACATATATAGGGGGGAGAGATCAAGAGTATGTTCCTCTCTCCTCCAAGATGTGCAGGAACAACTAGAAACATAAGTCTTAATTCCAGTGAAATTAATAATGTAGAACTCCTTCCACTTCACTGTGATTAGCCTGTAGTATTGATTACAATTTAATCTATATATTGTGCTAGCCCAAATTGCTTCAACATATATAGTTAAACTGTTTTAGAGTGGCAAACACTACAATTATGGAGTCCACATGCATCCACATGCTAGTGATTGTCTGCCATTTGGTAAACACTTTGACCCAGAACCTAGAGACAGTACCCACTGGCATAGTTTAGTGATTATGATGTGTACAATATGCCTTTAATAGGTCACCTCTCAACAAAACCACTGCATCTTAATATAGTGGTTTAAGTATATAAATACTGTCCCTTTTTTGGACAATGTAATTATTATTTCTGCAAAACAGCAATGTTTACATTTGTCTGAAAACACACTTCTAATGGTTGTTGGAATAACTACCACTAGAGGCACTTTCTCATTAACCTTTTCATACCGCCACTCGTTTATACACAATTGCCAAGGTATGAAACCATTCCCTGCAATTGTGTATATGTGATTTTAACTATTGCAAATAGTACCAACGAGTACCCCCGCAGCTGCATGAGCCTGTGGGGAGAACTATAACACTCGCCATTAGTGCAGACTGCACCTCTGGCTGGTAGCATCTCTCTGCAGATGCTCCATTTAGGTCAGAGACAAGAAGGGGCATTCAGAGAGTTCTGCACTGAGCCACAGGTGCAGATCTGTCTGGGAGCCCACTGGATCACCATGGAAAATGCTGGACAACCAGGGAATCAAGTGACCCCTCACTGCAGAAAAGGTAAACAAGAAGGGAGCTCAACTAAAGTGTAAATAAAAAATCTGAGCTGCACTGTGAGGGGAGGCTGTACAGAGAAGCTCAGCCTCCCCGCACACAGTCTACCCCCAAACTCACCCCTACAGCCACGCACAGTCACCCCCAAGTCATACTGGCTCACTCATCCCACACAAAGTCACCCTGTCACTCTCACAATAACACTGCCACAGTCACCCATGTCCCACTCACTCTGTCACAGTCCACCTCATACATACACAGTAACCCTCATACACACATAGTCAACCTTCACGCACAGCACACCCTCACCATAAGCACAACTCACGTATCAAGACTACAAGCAGCCCCCATACACACAAAACACTGCAAGCAGCTGCCCCACATACAGATGCTCCCAGACACAGAGATACAAACGCTCATAGAGATACACAGACACAGATATGGAATGAAGGCATATATATAACTTGCAGATGCACAAGGATACTCACTGCCAGCACACACTCACAGGCACATTCACAGTTACACAAGTCCAGACATGCACACAGATACCAATACAAACTGCCAGACACACATTATGATTGTGTCTGTATCTGTCATTGCCAATGTGTGTATCTATGTGTTATTGTGTGTCTCTCTAAATCAGTGTGCTTTTGTGTGTATGTTTGTGCGTGTATCAGAGTGTGTATATGTGTGTGTGTAGGACGATACGGTATTGGCAATATCATGGCAATGTGGCAACATATACAAAATGTGTGGGATATATTATTTAATATGCACTCAGTTCTCACTTGTGTGTATATATATATATAGATATATACACACAAGTGAGAACTGAGTGCATATTAAATAATATATTTGTAAGAGGATTATAGACTATTAAGGGAAAATATTGAGAAATTTTATTTATTTACAACACTATTTTTTTTTTATATGTAAATTCATTATTGTGTTTTTGTTTCCATTAAATAATATGCCATCTATGCATACTGAAACAAAAATACATTTAAACATTACTTTCTAACGAGAGCAAAGAACACTCTGATATTAAAATAAATATATTTATTTTTAATGTTAGAGATTTCCTTTAATGATTTTTCAGATAATTAGATGTACAACACATCAGTTGGGACTATATGATTTCTATCAAGTTTCACAAACAGTTATAGTTAAGTAAGTCTGTTGACATGTTAACCACAACAGCTTCTCTTTGGTAGGTAGACATAGTCCCGTTTTTATGTTTGCCAATATTTGTTAAGAGATACCATTCTCATCAACAAGTCTAGTTTTTTTCTTTTTGCATGAATACCCTCAGGAAAAGTACATTGTTCTCTTGACGTAGGTGGAATAAAATAACCATTAATAAGTGAAAGTACATGTTTGCTACTTTTCTTTCTAATTGAATTGCTATTGTTTGTTGAATATTTTATCTACAGGTGGATGACATTATGATGGAGAAAGCCCCTGAGAAATTTCCTATTAATACACCCAAAACAAAAGAAGGTTATTTCTATCGCCAGATTTTTGAAAAATACTATCCGGGACGTGCTGGCTGGTTGACTCATTACTGGATGCCCCGATGGATCAATGCCACAGATCCATCTGCTCGCACACTGAAGCATTACGTGTCTACCATGTCTGCATAGAGTTCATTTAAACTGGAGAAATAAAAGATTTATTCCATCTTAATCCTTTTGTGAAATCTTTGTTGCAATATTTTTTATAAAGCAGCACTTTTAGTCCAAACAACTTGTTACGTATACAACTAAATTCTCAAGACATGATTTATTCAGTTGAAATTTATAATCATGGGAATTGTTTTTTAACAGTTTAATGTTTAGGCTTTCACACTTTGCCGTGAGCTAATAAATCCTTTATACATTTAGGCGCAAGTGACAAGCAGGTTGATTAACAAGTCCTCTTGTTAAACAGAATCTGTTGGATTTTACTGTTTTTTTTCCCTGTTGTTTGTTTCATTTACTGCTAGAAAAAGTAAATATAAAGTTTTTATAGTGGCATACAGAAATGGTCCATACGTGTATGGTGGATAAATATTGGCAGAAAAAGATCATCATATAAAAAAAAAAAATAGTAATTTGCGTCTTGATTTAAATTAGATTCTCAGTGACTTCTGTGATGTCAAGACTCTTTAACTCGAGCCTTTGAGGGCAGAGCGTAGACATGCCAGATTTTAGAGTGAATGCATAACTCTGAATGAGGCACAAAGTTAATTGGTTCATTACATTTTAATAAGACAAATTTTTAAAACTCATGTTTGGCAGGGTAATATCCCACAAGGACTGAGTTTAACAGCTCTGCATTATATAACAAAAATTTATTGACTGTCCCTTGTTAACCTAAAACATTAAGGGTTTTCTAACTTGTAACAAATTATGACATCAATTTCAACATAAATACACTACAAAACTGTTTGATCAGTCTTTATTACATGATAATATTAATTTAGTGAAGGGAAGTTTTGTCCATAGAGATAACATTGTACATGCAAAACATAATACGTTCCACGTTTACAATGAGGAATGGTGTTCCAATGGTTCCAATGGCTATCCAGCAATATTGTAGAGCAGGAAACATCCCATAATGGTGTGCATATGGCTTCCGTGACATAATTATAGCAGTATCACAAAACATGCATGTAAGAGAGCAAGGTACTCACCTTTCCCTATTTATTATAACAACAGTATTTATACAAGAAAAGAAAGAACTTAACCATAACATGATAAGGGAATAACATCATGGATACAGATTGTATGCACACTCACATATCTGTAAGAATTCCATCTAATGGGAGAGGTGTAGTGTTCCCACTTAGAACATGATTGACCCAGCACACCTACAGGTAGTTTCCCCATTCAGTTTTATCGTAGACAGCCTGTTTAGTCTTAATGAATAGAAGGGAGGATAACAGACTTTCAAAGAAACAGATGTTTGTTTTTTTAACAGGATATATAATAACATTAATTTAAAGGTCCCTTTAACATACTCATGGAAAAAGCTCTGTAAATGTCAGATCCCTTAAGACTGTTTACCATACTCTGTACTAGTGCCGATGAGTCAGTGTAAATGTAAACTACTCTTTGAGGCACAAGGTACCATGACAGTTTTTTCTGTGCCTCACGGTGGGAGAGACATTTGGAAGGACCATGGATATGGGAGATGGCCTTCTTCCAGTCTACTAGAGAAACACTAATACCCAGATCTTGCTCCCACTTAATAATATGCATGCTAGGCCATAGATGGGTAACATATAGTTCTGAATTAATTTTAATTAGTTGGAAAAGTCAAAAAACATTGACTGGTTTTGGTAAATATGTTGTTTTGTGGAAATTTGGCTGGCTTTAATGCTAGCAGACAATTTTAATAATCACGTCATATGCTGGAGAAATATTATCCAATGGACGTGCTTCAGAAGGACATTTATAACCCTTTTAATGACTAACCCTGCTTGTCATTGGCTTGTGACTACAACGATGCCAAGCAACAAAATATAGTTCATACACTATCTATCATCCTTAAAATACTTCAAAATACAAAGTACGAGAAAATTGGGCTTAGCACACTTACTGTAACCTAGGCATAGTAGTCTGTCACATACCTAATATAAAAATAAAGAAAAAGAAAGTAAATGTGAAAAACTTGTATGGACATGGAGAATAGGAAACAATGGAGTCCAACTTGTCCTGCAAATGGAAGAGCGTTCAATGATTCCTGAAGAGAGGTGCTCAGTGATTTATTCCCGAGGAGGCAAAGAAGCTTTTGAAGAGGACGTTTCTAGAATGCCTCAAGTGGAGAGAGCTTTCAGGCCATTCTCGGGGGTAATAAGCACTCTGATAGCATTGTGTTCTGCCAGACTAGCAGCTTTGTAGGAATCCAATGATGCCTTTATTAATGCCTTTAGCATTGCAAAGCATCATGGAAGCTGTAGTTTAAAAAAAAAATCTGGGGATCTACCTGTTGGGCACCCTTGCACTATTGAGTCCTTAGGAGTGGAGTCTATAAGTTATTGGGCCTAGATAGACAATGCACCTAATTAAGTAATAGGGCCACTGTAAACTTAGGCGCCAGCACTGCAAGAATTCTGTAATGTAAGCTGTGAGCTCCCCTGAAAAAGGGGAGAATATGAGACCCCATGACATGTAAGTTATTTCCATGGGACTGTCTTCAATGTCAGCTAACTTTTATAGCAAGCTACTGTGAGAATTCACCATAAATAATATTTTATAGATAAGCTCATTATTAGCTGTGCAAGACTTATTCATTTTTGCCTCCAACTGGTCAGCTCTCTCACCCAGGGTACTTATGTCGTGGTGCAGATCTATGTAAATGTTTTTAAATCCGCCTGTAGAGTTGATCGTAATGATTGTAACATTACCGATAGCTTTTTTTAGACACAGAGATGAAAGGTAATAGCTCTGACATTGTGTCTGATTGAGTTGAGTGTACCGAAATGTAGCCACCATCCTAATCAGTTTGAAATGGTTCACTCTTTACATGTCCTGTGGATTATTAGCTCTCTGAAGATTTATGAGCCTTTAAGTGTGACATTTTCAGTTTGCCCAGAGATCAGGAACAAAAAGCAGTTGTAGTCAGGTCTGGCCTTTAGGGGTAAGCAAGTTGTGCGGCAGCACAGGGTGCCATGGAAGCTTACAGTGAGCAGCCAGCAGGCCATGGCTATTGTTATCTATTCGCTAGTAAAATACCAATAGAGATGGAAATGAAATAATGAGGGGTGGAAAGGTAACCCCACCTAGGTTAAGCAATTGTGGGTTAAATAAAATTAAACATGGGGGGGGGGAGGAGTGTCAATCGTTCTATACTACCCCCATCAGTGTCTCTCCTCTTATGCCAGCTACATCAGTCTCCCAGCCTGTCCTTCCATTTCTGTCTCTCCCCATCCCTTATTTAGTTTACCTGAAATGCAACCTCCTGCTGCAGGTTTGCACTCTCAGTGTATCTCCTCCCACACCGAACATGTGGATTTTGTCAGTGGAGAGGACAGGGACATGCTTCAACTTCCTGTCACCACCTCTCACCACAAACACTACAAGCACCATCTGGTATAGATAGGCCTGAACACTACACACCCTAGTGGCAGGTTCTGGTATTGCAAAACATCAGTGAAAAATACAGACATTTGCGTTTGTATTTTTGCAATACTGGCACCAGCCACACAGACTCAAATCCTGGATGTGCTGGTCAAATACCGGCCAGGTGGCAACTCTAGGTCAAACTTGATGAACTGGAAAAAGTCTTGAAGTCAACTATGCTTCCAGTTCGGCAACTCTGGCCCAACATTTTAATATCACTTTGAATTCTCACTTTATTAAATAACCCTGTTAGTTTCACAAACAACTATTTCACTTGTACTGAAACAGCCATTATTTAACAGATTAAACAATAGTGTTTTATTGTTAGATGTTATGATTGTTATTGTATAATAGGTGGTCCCTAGGGAAGTTTTCATAGAAAGGAAAAGTGTAGGACCAGTGTTGTACCACCAATTTTAAACACACTTATTATTATTGAAATTCATTTGTAAGAAATCATTTTATACCTACCTACCTGATTCCTGATTTTGATCCAGAGGACGCCAAGCAGACTGAGTAACCAGACCTCCCATGATGGGGACGGCAACTTTAAGGCGTTTCTTTCATCTGGAGTTTGTGAGTTCCATATAGAGTAGGGGCATTACAAGCCTACTCCAACAATTTTGCACTATTATTTGTTATTTTTATTTTAGATATCACGTATCCCATGTTTCTGTATATATCTTGTCTGTGTGAGTTCACCAACAGGGAAGGGACCTTGGGAAGCTGTTTCATAAAGCTAAGTA